ACGCTGAGACAGACACTTTACCTTGCAGTTTTCTTTGCTAGCAGAGATTTTTTTTTTTTCAAGTACACTTTTTACCTACCAGGTAGCCCCCTGAAAGACTCATATTTATGCAGGGTTTCAGTTCCCAATTTCCAGCTTTAAATAGCCACAGGCTTTTTAGTTTTGTTTTCTTTAGTGACAGCTACTAAAACTCAAACCTCCTGGTTAATAAGCAGAGCAAATGCTCCCAGGAGAGCAGCTGCATGGGTGGCAGCGGGCGACTTGGGTTTTCATGTCTCCCTCTGTTTCGGGTCTCTAGAGATCTATCCTTATTTCTTAGAAGCTCAGATATGCCTTTAAAAATGCTTGTTACATTTCCAACTACTTTTTTTTTTATTTAGGAGTTATGCTAAAACTTTCTCAGCCAGAAATAGAGATATTCTGACGGCTGTATCTATTTTAAATATGCATCAAATTGTGGTCTGCTGATGACATCTTCCATATTCCAGGGCTGTGTAGCACTTATATTTTTTATAATATCTTCTCATCAGTCAAAGGATTTTTTTTCATTTTCTGTTTTATTTATTTGTACTTTTAATGGAGGCAACATTGGTTTACAGCATTGTATATGATGAAGATGTATCGGATCACAGCCTTCAGGTGTTAAGTTGCCATATTACACCCACCACCCACTGAAAGTAAAAAGCAGGTGAATTCAGTTCAGCTTGTTGACCCAATTTTTGAACTAGGTCTTGAAAGTTGAGTAGAAACTTGCCAGGTTAGCCAAGGTCACTTGATGCTAAAGCAAGATAGCCTTGGAAGCACACACTTTCCTTAGGGAACAATGAAAAGTTAAATATAGCCAGAGAACATTAACCCTTAGGACGATGCAAGATGAATTTAAAGAAACCGGCTTGGGTGATATTAAAAGGTTCTTACTGATGTAAGAAGGATCCTGGATTCTCCTGTGTGATTCAGCAAAACTTGTTGCTGTTTATTTATTACTTACCAGGTAGTGGGTGCTCTACTGGAGATTTTGCAAAGGATGCTATCATCACAGACATTTTATATAAATCATGCAAAGAGACATTTTGTTTCCCTATGGCACACAGATCCCCAGGGTGGAGCCTAAATACAGAGCACTTGAATTAAGCCGCTTTCTGCAGCATCCCTAACAAACAGCGATAAGTTGGTAAATGCTTTTAAGACAAAAGTGCAGTCTTAACAACACTGGTTGCTGGGGAAGATTATTCTGTTGGTCTGGCTGCACTGTGAATGAGCACAACACTTACCAGCCCAGAGAAGAATGGAGAATGGAGGAAGGTCAGAGTGCTATGTTGCAGGTAGTTGGAGGGTTTTAGCACAGGAGTAAGATCCTTACAGATTTTTAATTTTTTATTTATTTGCTTATTTATTTTTGCTTTCAAATATTTTAATTCTATTTGGGAGGAAGATTTTTGTTTATTTTCATTTAGTTTAATTTTTTTCCTGTAAAAAAAAAAATACATACTCATACACACACACACTTGAAGGATCACTTGTCATCTTCGCTAGAGGTTATCTCTCACCTTCCTCTCCCCCTTTGAAAGCTGCAGACCTCTGGTCAGCTTTCAAAGGGTTGGTTGTATAGTTTGTCTCTTTCTGACTCTTTGTCTCTTTCTGACTCTTTGTCACACATAAGTGACACCCTCTGGCATATTTCTTTCTCCTTCTGGCTTATTTCACTGAGCATGATCCCTTTGAGCTCTGTCCATGTTGCTGCCAATGGCATGATTTTATCCTTTTTGATTGCTGAGTAGTATTCCATGGTGTGTATGGACCACATCTTCTATATCCACTCATCTGTTTTGGGGCATGTAGGATGTTTCTGTATCTTGCTATTGAAAGTAGTAAATATTGCTGTAATTGTAAACAATGCTGCGATAAACATAGGAGTGCAGGTTTCCTTTCAAATTAGTGTTTTTGTATTTTGAGAGTAGATACCTAGGAGTGGAATTCCTGGGTCCGCTGGATGATCCATTTTTAGTCTTTTGAGAAACCTCCACACTTTTTAAATGTGATCTTTTCAAAAGTACAGGAAAGTTGGAAGCAATGCAGACACCCATCTACCCACCATGTAGGCTATAATTAACATTTTGCCATCCTGGATTTATTACAAATCCATCCATTTCTTCATCCTTCAATTCATCGTTTAAAATATACATTTTAAAATAAGTCACAGACATCAAAACACTGTCTCCTAGATACGTCAGCACGCCTGGCATGAAGGAACACTGTCGTGGCTTCGTGAGGAACAGATCATGGGTGGTGAGCTTTCAGCAGAGACGTGGGCATCACTGGGCACTCTGGGGCCTTAATTCGCAAGGGTAGAGTATGCGGGCCTCCTGGGTTGGAAAACAGAGGTGGGGAACACAAGAACACAGAGAGAGATCAGTTTTGGGAAGACCACCCAAGTCAAGTGGTCCAGGGTGTCGAGACTGTCTTTCTGAAGGGAATAGGTGAGGAGCGTGTCTACACTCGTTGAGATGCAGACAGGGGAGAATTCATACACTGGGAGGAGGGGGGAGCATCAGTGATAGGAATTCCGATCACGTTCCTTGGCTAACATTTATATGCCACACTTCAGAAATTCTCCAAAGAGCTGGAGAAGAGAACATGGCTCTGCCTTGGCGATGTTCTGAGCGAGCGAGGTATGATTGACAGCTGTCGCTTCCTGTGACAGATGCTTTCTCGTGTGATCCATTCCACAGCGCTGAGTGACAGGTGCTCTTACCCCCAGTTTATAGCCAGGAAACTAAGTCTCAAATGTTAACTAACTTTCCTAAAGCCAAAACTTGGTACCTGGCAGAGATGGAATTCAAACACTGAGTTTTACGGCTCTCAAGGGTATATTTTTTGAGAACACCATGCTGGGAAGAAAACTTTGTCTTAATCAAGGTGAGAATTATTCTGCACTGGATTGGAACTCGGAGGGGAGCCCAAGAAAATTGCAGTAGCAGCCCAGACGGACGCATCCTGCCGGCGATTTCACTTTCTCTAATGTTTTCAAGTATGCCATTCCTGGGAAAACTCTGACTGGTCCTGGTGACAGTTTCTCCTCCCAGGATTCAAATTCAGTCCTAATTCTTGAGCTTCTTATTCCCTCCTGTGGGTCAGAAGCCAGAGCCCCTGAGGGTGTCCTGGTCTGTTCTTATCAAGGCAGCTCTGCACGCCCCAGGGTCCCTCACTAGTCTAAGCCCTCACCTGCCCTTGCTGCTTCCTAATGGTGGAAACTGCTGACACCACACTGGGAGGGATGCATTTAGGGGGCACCCCAGGGCTCTGTTAAGCAGCTCTGTTTTTGCAGTGGGCAATGCTGGGGTAGAGATATGGAAATCACCTGCTTTCCATTGGCACTCCTTTCTATCACATTTTGTGTGGGGGTGTGTGTGTGTCTCTCTCTCTCTCTCTCCCTCTCTCTCTCTCTCCCTCCGTCCAGAAGAGAGATGTAGGGCCTGGTTAAGTCAGCTCCAAAGGAGTTTTGGAAAATGTGTGCATTATGGGTATATTTTGAAATTTGAGCTATCTGAACTTCCAAACAGATTGGCTATGGGATATGAAATAAAGTGTAAGGAGTGACTCCAACATTTTTCATAACTGGAATGATGGTGTTCCCCATTACTGGGTACTGAAGAACTGGGAGGTATTGCAGAATCCTGAGGCATTGAAGGTCCTAGAAGGGAAGGTCAGGAGTTCGGCTGTGGACATGTTAACCATAAGATGTCTATTAAGTAAATAAGTGAAGAGGCTGAATAGCCTGGGGTATGTGAGTCTGGACAGGCGAGACGGGCTCCATGGTGGAATTAGAGCTGGGCACTGTAACTCTGGGGAGCATCAGCTAAGGTCATGAAATGAACTGAGATCCCCCAAGACAAGATTGCTGTTGAGAAGCACAGATTTATGCTGAATCCTGGAACATAAATCTAGCATTTAATAACCAGGAAGTTAGGAGACGCCTATAAAGGATATTGAGACTAACTGGTGAGTGATGAGAATTACACAGGAGCCAAATGAAAAACATACTTCAGAAAGGAACAGATTTCTAACATTACACAAAATCATCCTATTCTGACATCCCAAGGACTGGAACTGAAGGGCAACACTCCTGGCAAGAGTAATAGAGTCTCCTATGTCAAGCATAGATGTCTGTCTGCACCTGGCTATCAGAAGACAAGGGGCTGGCAGGAGAAGACTAAGCTCAGAGGTGTTTGAACTGACAGTGAACTGTGAACACCTGTATTTTGTCTTTTCAAAAACATCTAAAATAATTAGGGCCTGGCATGGAGATAGCCATTACTTGTTATAGTAATCAAGTCATTATATTTAAATTTCTGCATAGTTAAAAAACAGGAATCCACAATGTGAAAACAATGGCAAGGCACACTAGTGGTGACTCACTAAAATTTCATTTAAAAAAAAAAAAGTCTACAAAACAATTGTAAACCTATGAAAGGAAGGGTTAATTTTATTTCTACTAAACGAAAAGTTCTACATAGGTAAGAGAGCAACAAGCTTGAGAAAGGAGCAAAAACAGCAACACAAAACCTATAGATAAAGAAATATAAATGACCAATAACAAAAATGCTAAATCTCATTTGTAATTTAAATATGCAAATTTGAACATTGAGATTTCATTTGTCACTTTCAAATTCACAAATATCAAAAGGATAATATTCACTTTTGTCCAGGGTACAGAAAACTAGAAACTCTCATGCATACTTGATGGACATGTACACTGGCACATTTTAATGAAGTAATTTGCCAATAGTCATCCAAAAAATTAAATATGTCATTTTAGAATTATTTTAGAAAAATTGAGAATATACTAAAAAAATTGAGAAGAAAATACAGAAAGTTCCCATAACCCCCAAACCAAGCTTCCCTTGGTTATTAGAGTTATTAGCATTTTCATTTTTATGGTACATTTGTGTCAATTAATGAACCAACATTGACCATTATTATCAACTCAAGTCATTACTTGCCTCAGATTTCCTTCGTTTTTACATAATGTGCCGCTTCTGGTCGGAATCCAGCTGGGACACCAACTGCGTTCAGTCATCAGCTATCTCTTTAGGCTTCTCTTGGCTGAAGTTCTTGGATTTTTCCTGTTTTTTGATGACCTTGAAGTTTTGAAGATAATTGGTCAGATATTTTGTGTACTGTGCCGCAGTAGGGATTTTCCCATGTCTTTCCCACGTTCTGTTGGGATTATATGTTCCTGGGAAGAAGACCAAAGAGGTAAATGCCATTTTCATCACATCCTATCAAGAATTCTACTGCTGACACTAACCTTGATCACCTGGTCGAGGGAGGGTTTGTCAGGTTCCTCTGTATTCTTTTCCCCCATTTACTATATTCTTTAGACATAAATTGCTATGTGCAGTCTACACTTAAGGAATGGAGAAGGTGGATTATTTACATAAGATTGTCTGGAGTTCTTCTGCATGAGAGATTTATCTTTTCTCTATTATTCAACAATTTATTCGCATCAGCGTGGATTCATCCTTTTTTCATTTTATACTCTAAATTACAATCTAACACTACTTTGTTGCTCAAATTGTTCCAGTTTTTCCTTTGGGAGTTCTTTCAATTGGTTCACATGCCCCCCACCCCCCCGAGAGCCCCTATCATTGTACTTTTTTAAAACAAAACACTTTCTTATTTTCTCAAAATACAAGATGCTCCAAGTTCATCACGTAAATTCGCTCCCTGAGTCCTGGAATCAGTCATTTCTCCAAGAAGCCCTGGTTTCCTTTATTAGCAAATGTTATTAGAAACCAAGATCTCGCTGCTGCAGAGGCTTCCTCATCTAGGTCTCAGCTGCCAGAAGTATCTGAAGAGTAGCCTGGACATTTTGAGGTGCTAAATAGTTTTGTTCTTACGGAAAAGAAGGGGAAATATGGGAGATTTCCTTTTCCCTCACAATTTCCATGAGATGTTGCACAAAGGATCACATGGTTGGTAATTGAAAAGGTAGGAATTTAATTCGTTTCTAAAAGTATTTCCAGAAGAGGTTCTATGTGGACCTGACACCGGTGAGCTGAGAATGGGGAATAGAGGGAAGAATAAGAAACTTCCCAGTAGGTCACAGGAGAACAGATGAATAACTACCATTTCTGTGAGAGGAATGGCGGTAGAGAGATGTGCATCTGCTTGAGAGCAGAGGTGAGCGCCCAGTTCCAGAAGGGAGAGAATGTAAAAGTGGGAAATGGAATAACTAAGTTGGAGGTAATCTGACAGTGTGGAAAGGGCAGAGGTTTTAGAGTCCATCAGTAAGTGCAAATCCCTTTATCTAGCTCTGTAACCTTGAAAAAGTCACTTAAACTTTCTGAGTCCGCATTTACTCTCTGTGCTATAAAGATTATACCCACCTCAGAGAGCCACTGGGGGGATTAGCAGTGATCTTTTACACCAGTAGTCTAGAGCAGAGTCCGGCCCTTGATAAATCCCCCGCAAAATGGTAGCTCAGTAGTCGTAATTGAGGTCAAGTTGGATTTCTCCATTTCAGTGGAGTGACTGTAGGGAAGCAGGAGATGACTCAGATCTCTTACTGGAACAACTAGGCAGATACTGAGGACAAGCATGATTAGGTTTGGAGAACGAAGGAGGAAAGCAAGTGTTTTGGAATAAGGCAGCTGACATGCCTGTGGGACGTTGGGGAAATCAGAGATGAGGAAGGGAGGCAGAAGAAGCAGGCAGAGCTGATGTCCGCCTCCAGGAAACTCCGCCTACGGGACAGCTCAGCACCTCCTCTGGCCCCATCTCTGCAATTCCTATTAGTCAGAGGGAGGACCCAGTCTCATCAGTGACTCAAACTATGTTGCCTCTTGTTCCTGAACTCCTTGGAGATAGTTAAAGGCAGCATGAGTCTTCATTTGATTTATTAACTCATTCTTTTTTTTATTCAGGAAGCATATTGAGACACCTACTATCTGCCAAAAACTGATGTAGAATCCAGAGAGAAAACAGAATGAAATAGTTGAGCTCCTTGCTCAGTAGGATTCAATGTACTTGTGTGTCTTTAAATGTTTGCACCTCCTTGTCCCCCACCCCATCACTAAAAGTTTAATTTAAATAGAGGAAGACATTTCTCTCTCTTACATCAACTCAGGATGATTCCACAGGAGAAAAAATTAAAGAAAATCACTTTGCAAAGACTCTTAGAGATTATATAGTCCAATCTCCTTGGTTCAACAAATATTTATTGAATATGCGTTATTTACCAGGCACTCTTATTTTTCATATGAGTAAAAGATGATGAATATTTGTGTCTCCCCAAAATCCATGTGTTGAAACCCTCACCCACAGCCTTCTATTGTCTATTCTCTGTGCCTCAGGCTGCTGGTTCCATACCATGAACAGGGAGGGCCTTCCCATGTATTCAAACCTGGGGTGCTGGAATTTTCCTTCCTTCTGCCTACTTCATTAGAACTTGTTCTTGGGGGACTTAGCTGTAAGATAAGAACTGATCGCTGAATTCTGATAACTTTCACTCATTGTAACAAATAGCTCCTGAACATTTAATCTCTATGTGGCTCTGTGCCTGATCCTGGGTGTTAGTCTTAGAGATGAGTCATAGACCCAATTCTCAAGAGCATGCACTCCAGTGGGAGAAATAATTCATGCACAAAATTAATGCTTTCATGAATGTGCAAAAGAATATTGGAGGGAGCTCCAAGCACTGTCCTGGAAAGCTGGATAAATAAGAAGTACCCATAGTCCCTGGCCTAGGGGGGAGCTGAAATGGATCTGTGAGCGCAGGGCACCAGGAATAAAAGAGCATTTCTGTGCGTTCAGGAGAATGAGGTGAGAGATCAGAGAATTTTTTAAGGGGAAAGATTAAATGAGTGTATAAAGAATAAACAATGGTATTTATAAACAATACTGTTTTCCTAAGAATGTAGCTAACAGTATGAACTCTGGAGGTAATGACTGGGCTAAAATCTTCCTCTTAATGCTTGGGGACACAGCCATGGGTAAGTTATTTAATGTCTCTATCCAATGTTGTTCTAGTTAAGTGTCAGTAACTTTTCCAAAAGGAAATAATAGGCAGTGACGTTTGCACATAGGTTATGTTAATGCCCATCTCCAGACCTCACCTGTGCCCAGTGCCCTGCCAAGTAGCAACTCCCCTTTTCCACCCAACCTACCTAAAACACCCCAATCCACCAAGGTCAGGGTCAAATTCCACTCTCTCCTGACTACGTTCTTAGCCACTGTATTCCACGCATGTGACTCTGATTTCTGCCTCCCACAGCATGCGTGGGAAGTTGACTGCATGAAAACCAGGAGCCAGCTTGGTGCTCACTTTTGTTTTCTCCTAATTGTTCTATGTGAAAATGTTTTATCTTCTTGACATAACAACACATTCCTTCAGGAAAAAACAATATGTCTTCTTTTCACTTTGTCCCCTAATGATGGCTGATGTATGTAGGCAACGCTCAGAAAATAAATGCCCATTTGGTGGCGTTGCCATGGTTTCTGCTAGACTGTCAGGTAAAGCCATGAACAGGGCACCACCCCACCCTCAAAAAGCTCCCAAACTCCTTAGAAGCAGATGATTAAAGAGTTGGAATACAGTCCTATGCAAGAATAAATTCGCATTCCCACCCCACTTCACCAAAGAAGTTACCAAAAATAACACAGACTTGCTGAAGTCTCTGAGTTAAAAAATCAAAGGGGCACAGCACAGCAGAACATGCCGAGGCTATTGCAGGTGGTCTCCCCTATCGGGGTGCAGGGGCTCCAGAAGCTGACCTCAGAAGGGTATCTGAGTCTTTGTGAGTTGAGGTCTCCAAACACAAGACACCCGAGTCTGAGAAGAGGACTAGGAGGGCAGAACTATCACCCTGAGAGTTGAGTAGACTTGGCACACTATCTTGACTTTTTGTGCACAATGTTCTTGCGGGAGGTGGGGGAAGAAGCATTGTTCCCAGGGGCCTCCGTGGTGGCACAAGGGGTTAAGCAGCAGCACAGTGAAGCAATCCACAGCTACTGCAGCATGAGGAGTTCCATCCCCAAGTTTGATCCCCAGCCAGGGAGCTACCCACATGGCACAGCAGACCTCTCGTGTCTCACCCGCCATACCCCTCAGGAGTATATTTCAGTAGATCTATCTGTTCTGCTCCCCACTCTGTCTCTGGTGGATCCTCTCACCCCCCACACCTCTGGCCTATAGCCCAGTTCTTGTATGTATAAATAAATCTTTAAAAAAAAGAAAAATAAAAGAAAGGCATTGGCCCCAGGTCCAGCGCAGTATCAGGAATGGATGGCACAGCCTCTGCCTCTGTCTTGGTTTTGACTCCAGGCACTTTCTTTCAGTTTCCACTTCCTCATGCCTGGAGATAAGGTCTGTAAGTATCCCCCTGGTTGTCAGGTACCACTCACCTAAACTCACTTCTGCTCACTGCCTGTGCCCTTCCGTGGAGCAGGGGAGAGAGAAGCAGCCAACCTGCATTTGCTCTGAGATGCTGTCAGTAACTACGAGACCTTCGGTCACTGTCAAGAATGAGGCAACTGAAGGACATTAGCAACAGAAGCAGGGAAAAGATTGAACTTCTGTGGTTGAGGACAGACTGGGAGGTATTTGTGCCATCCACCCAGCCCCCAACTGCATGGGTAGGTTGAAGAAAATACTTGGTTACAGAAGAGTAATTTTCTATAGAGCTAATTTTAAAATCAAAAGTATTGAAGTAGGATTTAGATACAACAAGTAAATTGCACATTTTAAGTGAGAAATCGGGAACATTTTGACCTATGCACACACCCATATAATCAGTGTCCCAATCAAGACAGCATATGCTCAACTCCCCTTGCTGCCCTGCCCAGATAACCACTTCTCTGATTCTTACTGTTACAGTTCCTTGCATCTCTTCTAGGCCTTCACATCAGTGGAATATTCAGTATCTACTCTTTTCTGTCTGCCTTCTTGACTCAGCATAATTGTTTTCAACAGTAAACTTTCCAAACACGCAGAAAAATTAGAAGAATTTTATAGTCAATTCCTGTATATCCACCACCTAGACTCTGTCATTAACATTTTGCTTTATTATGTGTCTGTTTATTCATCCTGCTTTCTCCCTTACTAGTCTCGCATTGGAAGCTAAATTGTAGACATCAATCATTTCTCTAAATATTTCAGGTTGTATTAGTAACTAGAATGCTGTACTTGTTCACACATTTTCTTTCAAAGTAAAAAGAATGTACAATAAAACACAAATGCTAAGTGTACATTTTCTGGTTTTTGACAAATACATCTATTACCCAGACCCCTATCAAAACATAGCTTATTGGGGCCTCCCCGGTGGCGCAGTGGTTGAGCGCTGGGTTGCGAAGCTGCCTGCAGCTTCTGCGGCGCCAGTTCGATCCCTGGCCACCAGGCGAGGGTCCCACATGGCGCGCAGACCTCTCCTGCTGCCCACTGCTCCCCTCAGCAGTGTACTTCGTCAGTCTGCCTGTTCTGTTCCCCGCTCTGGCTCTGGTGAATTCTCTCACCCTCCCGCGCTTGTGACTGTGCCCAGTGCTTGTATGAATGAATACATCTTTGAAGAAAAAAAAAAGAATTTAAAAAAAAAAACAAAAAACATAGCTTATTACCATTACTCCAGAGTTACCTGTCTGTCCTCAGGTAATATTCCCCATCTCCACTGCCCAGGCAACTTTTTACTTTTTTTCCACCACAGGTTAGTTTTGTCTGTTCTAGAACTTTATGTCAATGGACTCACACTGTATATTTTTCTCTGTAAAACTCCTCTTACTTAGCATAATGTCTTTCAGCTTTGCCATGTGATTTTATTTGTTATTTTATTTATTTTCATTGCTGAATAATATTGCATAGTTCAATATACTACAATGTGTTTATCCATTCTCTTATTGATACACATATAGATAGCCTTTAGCTCTGAAGTTGAGTTCCAAACTATAAATAAATATGTGTTTTTATGGATATATGTCTTATTTTCATTAGGTAAAAATCTAGAGGAATTGCTGAATTATAGAGTAGGCATATGGGTACTTGTAAGAAATTGTCAGACCTTCCCTCAAAGGTTTCCATCCTTTTATACCAAAATTGGTAAGAGTTAGGCTTGCTCCATGTGCTTGCCAATATTTGATCAATTTTCTTTTCTTTGGTTCTTCCTTCCTTTATCACTTTCTTTTATTTTGTTATTCTCAGTAATGTGTAATGGCTTCTTCTTTTTTTTAAAGATTTATTTATTTATATAAGCACTGGGTACAGTCAGAAGCACAGGAGGGTGAGAGGATTCACCAGAGCCAGAGCAGAGAACAGAACAGGCAGACTGACGAAACACACTAATGAGGGGAGCAGCGGGCAAGAAAGGAGAGGTCTGTTGCGCCATGTGGGACCCTCGCCGGTGGCCTGGGATCGAACTGGTGCTACAGAGGCTGTGGGCAGCTTCACAGCCCAGCGCTCAACCAATGTGCCACCAGGGGAGGCCCTGTGTAATGGCTTCTTAGTTTGCTTTTATTTGAATTTCCCTTTATATGTGATTATTACC